GGCGAGGACTGTGTGTCCTTAGCTCAAGGAGAATACGGTGAGGACTGTGTGTCCGGGACTGTGTGTCCTCAGGTTTGAATACCTAGCCGCTCCAACCAGATGTACAACTGAGACAGCAGTTGAAACTGGTCTACCAAATCATTGACTTCACCAAGCCAACTGGTTCTATTTCCTCAACTCTTTCATTTCCTCAGTATTGTGTTGTTTGCTTGTCATATTTGTGTTTGAAGACTTTGACTGAAGACTTTCTCAATTTCCTCAGTTCAATTTCTTCAGTCTGTTTGTCTTCATCTAGTGTTATCCTGTGATTACGCTTTCTGTACTATGTGCTTGTCTTCATTTTATCATGATGACTATGCTTGTCTTCTGTTATGTTTACTTCTGAGTACTTATTCCGCTGCAAGTAGTTCTTCGCTAAGGAATTTCCTAGTGAGGAAATTCCTGAGTGAAGAATTCATAAAAATCGCCTATTCACCCCCTCTAGTCGATATAATGCACTTTCAGACTCCGAACAACATTCGGTAATCACATACAAATCTTCCTTATAACCCTAGCGTCATCGAACCTTAAGTGTGTAGACCCTACGGGTTTGGGAACCATGCAGACATGACCGAGACAACTCTCCGGCCAATAACCAACAGCGGGATCTGGATACCCATGTTGGCTCCCACATGTTCCACGATGATCTCATCGGATGAACCACGATGTCAAGGATTCCAGCAATCCCGTATACAATTCCCTTTGTCAATTGGTATGTTACTTGCCCAAGATTCGATCGTCGGTATCCCAATACCTCGTTCAATCTCGTTACCAGCAAGTCACTTTACTCGTTCCGTAATGCATGATCCCGTGACCAACTACTTAGTCACAATGAGCTCATTATGATGATGCATTACCAAGTGGGCCCAGAGATACCTCTCCGTCATACGGAGTGACAAATCCCAGTCTCGATTCGTGCCAACCCAACAGACACTTTCAGAGATACCTGTAGTGCACCTTTATAGCCACCCAGTTACATTGTGACATTTGGTACCCCCAAAGCACTCCTACGGTATCCGGGAGTTGCACAATCTCATGGTCTAAGGAAATGATACTTGACATTAGAAAAGCTCTAGCAGACGAACTACACGATCTTGTGCTATGCTTAGGATTGAGTCTTGTCCATCACATCATTCTCCTAATGATGTGATCCCGTTATCAATGACATCCAATGTCCATAGTCAGGAAACCATGACCATCCGTTGATCAACGAGCTAGTCAACTAGAGGCTCACTAGGGGCATGTTGTGGTCTATGTATTCACACATGTATTACGATTTCCGGATAACACAATTATAGCATGAACAATAGACAATTATCATGAATAAGGAAATATAATAATAACCATTTTATTATTGCCTCTAGGGCATATTTCCAACACACCTTTCCTTTTTACATTTTATCCTTTGGCAAGCACATTGTGTTGGAAAGATCCTGATATATATATATATATATATATATATATATATATATATATAATTGGATGTAAGTTAGCATGAACTATTATTGTTGACATTACCCTTGAGGTAAAAGGTTGGGAGACGAAACTATAAGCCCCTATCTTTCTCTATGTCCGATTAAAACTTCATAACCACAAGTATTGCGTGAGTGTTAGCAATTGTGAAAGACTAAATGATAGTTGAGTATGTGGACTTGCTGAAAAGCTCTTATATTGACTCTTTCTGATGTTATGATAAATTGCAATTGCTTCAATGACTGAGGTTATAGTTTGTTAGTTCTCAATGAAGTTTTTGATTCACACTTGACTTTGTGGATAGATTGTTACTTTATCATAAGAAATAATATGACAATATCCATATATATTGCTGTTATAAGAATGATCATGATGCCCTCATGTCCGTATTTTACTTTATCGACACCTCTATCTCTAAACATGTGGACATATTTATCGTTATCGGCTTCCGCTTGAGGACAAGCGAGGTCTAAGCTTGGGGGAGTTGATACGTCCATTTTGCATCATGCTTTTATATCGATATTTATTGCATTATGGGATGTTATTACACATTATGTCACAATACTTATGCCTATTCTCTCTTATTTTACATGGTTTACATAACGAGGGAGAATGCCGGCAGTTGGAATTCTGGGCTAGAAAAGGAGCAAATATTAGAGACCTATTCTGCACAACTCCAAAAGTCCTGAAACTCCACGGAAGTTATTTTTGGAAATAATAAAAAATACTGAGCGAAGAAAATACCGGAGGGGGCCCACACCCTGGCCACGAGGGTGGGGGGCGCGCCCCCTGCCTCATGGGCCCCCTGGTGGCCCTCCGGTGCCCATCTTCTGCTATATGAAGTCTTTCGTCCGAGAAAAAATCATAAGCAAGCTTTCGGGACGAGACTCCACCGCCACGAGGCGGAACCTTGGCGGAACCAATCTAGGGCTCTGGCGGAGCTGTTTTGCCGGGGGCACTTCCCTCCGGGAGGGAGAAATCATCGCCATCGTCATCACCAACAATCCTCTCATCGGGAGGGGGTCCATCTTCATCAACATCTTCACCAGCACCATCTCCTCTCAAACCCTAGTTTACCTCTTGTATCCAATCTTTGTCTCATAGCCTGGGATTGGTACCTGTAGGTTGCTAGTAGTGTTGATTACTCCTTATAGTTGATGCTAGTTGCTTTACTTGGTGGAAGATCATATGTTCAAATCCATTATGCATATTAATACCCCTCTGATTATGAACATGAATATGCTTTGTGAGTAGTTACGTTTGTTCCTGAGGACATGGGAGAAGTCTTGCTATTAGTAGTCATGTGAATTTGGTATTCGTTCGATATTTTGATGAGATGTATGTTGTCACTCCTCTAGTGGTGTCATGTGAACGTCGACTACATGATACTTCACCATTGTTTGGGCCTAGAGGAAGGCACTGGGAAGTAATAAGTAGATGATGGGTTGCTAGAGTGACAGAAGCTTAAACCCTAGTTTATGCGTTGCTTCGTAAGGGGCTGATTTGGATCCATATATTTCATGCTATGGTTAGGTTTACCTTAATACTTCTTTTGTAGTTGCGGATGCTTGCAATAGGAGTTAATCATAAGTGGGATGTTTGTCCAAGTAAGGACAGCACCCAAGCACCGGTCCACCCACATATCAAATTATTAAAGTACCGAACGCGAATCATATGAACGTGATGAAAACTAGCATGACGATAATTCCCATGTGTCCTCGGGAGCGTTTTCCTTCATATAAAAAATTGTCCAAGCTTGTCCTTTGCTACAAAAAGGATTGGGCCACCTTGCTGCACTTTATTTACACTTGTTACTTGTTACTCGTTACAAATTACCTTATCACAAAACTATCTGTTATCGATAATTTCAGTGCTTGCAGAGAATACCTTGCTGAAAACCGCTTATCATTTCCTTCTGCTCCTCGTTGGGTTCGACACTCTTAGTTATCGAAAGGACTACGATAGGTCCCCTATACTTGTGGGTCATCAGAGCTTTCCCCCTTGTGTGGCGCCCTTCCCCCTCCTCCAACCTACATATATACATTTAGAAGCCCACTGTGGTCCTAATCTCCTCGCTGTAATTCTCCAATGACGATTAGCTTTGCACCGCTAAATGCTGCCGCATCATGAAGACAGTACGCTTGCAATCTGTGGAGAGGTCGTGTCTTACGCTCGAGGGATCATTCATCGACGGTTCGAGGGACTCCAAGTATGATCTACACCGAATCGTCTTCTTCCGCTGCAACTCGGAATTGGTAACAATTCGATCCAAACCATTATTGCATCTTCATAGTGTTCCTAGTTCATCATAGGGCGTTTTTTTCTACTACGTTTCCCAACAATGTACTAATTAGTGATGTCATCCTTGTTACTTTAATAATTCTCATGACCAGGAATACAAGATCATCATCAATACATGAGCTAGTCCTAAGCATTATAAACATGAAAAATATAATAATACATCTACTTCCTTTAGGGCATATTTCCAATAGCCACAACATCGCATGCAGAGGGGAGAAAGGAGCTTCGGGTTTGGGTTTTCATCCCCCCCCCCCTCATGTTAGATGGAGGCTGAGCTCGAGATGAAAACTCGCCGAGGATGCGGCAGGGCGGGCTGAGGGAGAGGGGGAGAATTGCGTATGTGCCATGGGAGAGGTGATTAAGAAGATGAACAATGCATGGACACGAAGACGTTTGGCCGCTCGTTTACAATCCAACATAAAGCCATTCTGCGAACCAACCTGTGGTTGAGATGGTTAGGTGGACAGTGATATCCTCAGCCCACCAGGGTTCAAATCCTGGTGCTCGCATTTATCCTGGATTTATTTCAGGATTTCTGGCGATACGCTTTCAGTGGGAGAAAACGTTCCCATCGACTACGAGGTGCCTACGCTAACTTCGTAAAATCTCATGATGATATGCCGACTCAGTCTTTTGGAGATGCTCAGTAGGGTGTGCGTGTGTGCGTTTATAGAGGTGAGTGTATGCGCGTTTATATGAGCGCTTGCTGTTGAAATATATTATCCACCTCCCTCCATCAGTTCAGACTTTTGAATGAGTTGGCTGGTGCATGAATTCAATATGGTATCCGAGCCAAAAGGTCTTGAGTTCAACACTCTGCCAATGCAGTATTAAATAAAACGATTCTACGGCCTACATCGATCACACGTCTAAGGACTTTTGGATGAGTTGGCTGGTGCATGAATTCAATACTTGCGTCTGTGTTAAAAAAACATAAAGCCATTATGAGAAGAAGAAAAACCCGTGTTTTGCGAAAAAAAAGAGTTCATATTCATGTTTCTTTTTGTTCCAAACAAACGAGGGCTGCCGAACGAAAATATTTTACACGGATTGAATGGAAAGGGAAACACGAAGGCCGTGACCGTGACACACCATTTGTACACAACCTTGACCATCACATCACACGACGAAGAGCAAAGCAACGATGCAAATCCGAGACGGGTCGAGCGTTGGGCTCACGCGCCAATTTACGCGTAGTCCTGGTCGGCGACTGGCTGGTAGGACGCGATGAACACGTCGCCGTACACGAACCCGGCGAGGCCGCCTCCGATGAGCGGCCCGACCCAGTAGACCCAGTTGCCGGCGAAGTTGCCGGCGGCGACGGCCGGGCCGAAGGAGCGGGCGGGGTTCATGGAGCCGCCGCTGAAGGGGCCGGCGGCGAGGATGTTGGCGCCGACGATGAAGCCGATCGCGATGGGCGCGATGGTGCCGAGGGACCCCTTCTTGGGGTCCGCCGCCGTGGCGTAGACCGTGTACACCAGCGCGAAGGTGATGACGATCTCCATCACCACGCCCTCGAACTCGTTCATGCCCGCCGCCACACCGTGCGTCGGGATGGCCTGCGTTTACAGTTCACCGGTAAGTTGGACGGTAAATTACACGGCAGCCAGTGTGCGATCACATCATGTGGCGAGTACCGACCTTTCCGTGGGTGACGAATTTGAGGAGGAAGCAGGCGGCGGTAGAGCCGAGCAGCTGGGCCACCCAGTAGAAGATCCCGGTGAGGATGGTGATGTGGCCGCCGACGGCAAGGCCGAAGGTCACGGCGGGGTTGAGGTGGCCGCCGGAGATGTTGGCGGCGATCGCGACACCGACGAAGAGGGCGAAGGCGTGGGCGATCGCGATCGCCACAAGGCCAGCCGGGTCGAGGGCGCCATCGTCGGTGAGTTTCCCTGCACGAACCCAGTTGCCACTTAGCACTGAGGTACTGGTACCATACGTTCATACTGATCACCGTTGGATTCACGGAGACAGAGGGTTCACACAGACACGGTGACTAACCGTAGGCAATGGCGGACCCAACGCCGGCGAACACGAAGAGGAGGGTGGCGATGAACTCCGCCACATACGCCCTGACGGACGTGGCGCTGAAGGAGTCACCGCAGCTCCCGAATGCGAGCTTCACCATTCTGCTTTCACTCTCTCTTGCTACCCTGGAAAATTACTGTCTGTACCACACACTCAAAGAGGGCTGATGGCTTAACACTGATGAGCGAAGTCCCTTCACCATTAGGACCCTTTTATACACGCGAAATCGTGCTAACAGCTTAATGGCCAGCTCCAATTGCAGACTAGAGTATTTCTGGGCGGTGCGGATGATTATCATAAACTGTTTAATTTAAGGATTAGCTTGGTCTATGATTGGTACTACCAGGCCGCCCAACCGCACCATGCTTTGTTCAAATGTTCCGTTGCTATTATGAACTTCTAGGGAGTATTTTATCTCATCCTGTGATGAAATAATACTATTTGGTTAAGGGGAGCAATTAGATCGCTGGGAGGGTTCGCTGCGCCGTCCTTGTTGCCTCTGTTTGTGTTTCTCATGAAACCAAGTCAAGTTTATTCAGCTCTTTCAATGTTTTCTGAATTTTTATATACTTCGTAAAGTTGAAATCATGTTCGTTTTAAATGACACTTTATCCGCTTGATTGATCAATAGCTATTGCTAAAGAGTTGCTCAAAGTGTTATGGGGCTGGTACAGTGAACTTTCCCATATGTCAATGTTTCGGCCGTTTGCAATGAAGTCCATGTAGATTTCAAATACAAAACTCGTGTTATTGCGGTGGCAAGAAGGCCGTTTGCGACTCATGTTACTATCGGGGATGGCAAGAAGGCCTCCTTTTGGTCTTCCTCATGGCTTGACGGCAAGCCACCGAAAGATATGGCACCTCTGATCTTCAAAGCTTCGAGGAGGAAAAACCGAACGGTCCATGATGCCCTTACTGATCATACCTGGGTAGCGGATATTGCGGTGGAGGCCTTCACGGCAGAGCACATTGGCCAGTTCGTCCAGCTATGGGATCTCATCTCAGATATCCAGCTCTCCCCAGATATAGAAGATTCCATCATCTGGACCCTCTCCCCAAATGGATGCTACTCTGCGAGCTCCGCCTATAAGGCGCAGTTCATGACCGCGCTGCCTTGCTCCTTCGGCTCGATTGTCTGGAAAACGTGGGCGCCTCCCAAATGCCGCTTCTTCGCTTGGCTCGCCGTCCAAAATCGCCTCTGGACCGCGGATCGCCTGGCCAAACGTGGATGGCCACACCAGCCCTCCTGCCAGCTATGCCGGTGCTCCCCTGAGACGGCGAGACACATGCTCTTTGAATGCCGTTACTCCAAGAGGATCTGGTCCGCGGCGGCATCCTGGCTCTCCTGCCCGGAATTACTGCTTAGCATGGGCTCTGGTCGCCCCAAGGTGGTGGACTACTGGCAGGCCTTAGCTAGGTCGCCCTCTTCCTCTCCCAAAGGTCTAAAAACGGCTATCATGCTCATCACCTGGGAAATCTGGAAGGAAAGAAATGAGAGAGTCTTCAACAAGAAATACTCTCTGCCGGTGGTGGTCATGCACAAGATAAGAGAGGTAGCAAAAGATTGGATTCTAGCGGGAGCAAAAAACCTGGCGGATCTTGTGGGCTGATCTGTTTGTTATTTTTGTTTTTTCCTTTTCCTTTGGGATGGCCTAAGCCATTCCCACCTTGCTGTTGTTCTTGCTCCTTCTTTATCAATATAAGGCAAAGCTTTTGCCTCGTTTCAAAAAAAAAAAATACAAAACTCGTCCTGGTATATAAAAAAACTGAACAGCCATTTGGTAGTGCATACTGTAGACAGAAACCTGTCTTCTACGGTTCTCCATGACAGGGTAAATATTAATGTTGAAAAATCGCATCATTATGCAACTTTGTGCATACTGTATTAATAATTTTTATTGGCGGTGTGTTGGAACATTATTTTCTTTAGTTTTCTCTACTGGACATGGGCTTCCCTGGGCACCAACCCAATATTGTTGGTCCTCTTTTCGTTGTTGATTTCTGCATTCGTGTGTGTTTTGTAAATCATTGTATTCTGCTCTGTTGCCAGATTGGCAAAGCTTTTGCATCTTTAAGAAAAAGAATGAGAAGCCAATCCATGGAACTTCGGAATATGTTTTAGCGAAAAACACACACACACACACTCTCTGTGGTACTACTTAACATGCATTAATAGCTGGCGAGAGTTTATGTGGTGTAGCAAACAAAATTGCTCCTTCGGGGAGTCGCATATTGTCATCACTTTACTCATTTTCACCCAGCCTGTCTGTTCCGAACAATGTCTGAAACTGTCTACTGGGGAGTATATCGTTTAACAGTAGACCAGGAAGAGTTATTCTCAGTTCAGCTAAACAATGTTTAGTAGATACACTAACTAAAATATGGTGAAAAAAGTGAACATGTGAAATGGGTTGGCTAAGTGATCATGACAGGAACCAATCGAGAACTCGGCATTCTCCAAAGTCGGCGAGTCAAACAATGTTAATTCTGCCAAGTTAGCATCAGGTACAGCAATTGAAAAAATTGCAGTGATGATTAAGACTTAGTCTCTTGGTTTATTTTATTGTGAGATTTGTAATGCCTTTCCTTCAAAGAAAATTGGGGTTTAAAAGAGGGTTCATACCGTGCTGATATCGGAGTTTTCAATTCTCAAAACTAGGGTTGCGGGATGGTGATAATCAATAGAAATTAACTCTTTGCAGCAAGGGCGGCCTCTGACTTAGAGGGTGGACGCCCCCCAATGACCGGCTGTTCGTGTGGTTTTCACCTTCAGTGTAATTTCAATGGAATTTCAAAATTTCCATTAATTTTGGTACATACCAAAATAATTGCCTTTTGGTCAAAGTATTTCATTAATTTCCGTAGTACACAAAAATCGAATAAGTTTTACATTATTTTTTGAATTTTCAAAATATTTGTTTGGATCACAGTCAAATTCAAGTGAAAATTTTAGCCGTTTGGCCTGAATGAAAACCAACTTTACTGAATTTCAGTGCAATTCAATAGTTTCGACAATAGCTGGAATGTTTTTAAAATAAAAGTTTAAAGCCACTCTGACATACTAAAGCGCATCGAGCTAGTAGCTCTCTTCTTCGGCAATTATCTCTTTCCTAATCCCAGCAAGTCAAAGTCTTGCCAGAGATGCAAGGTCTTGTGTTCCTGTCACGCAAGCTATGCGCACATCATGATATCATCCAAACATGGTACAATAGTCTTGAGAAAACTGCAAGAATCTTTTTTCATAGTATTCTGCCGTTCTGCGATGCCAGCAAATTTGCGACTTGCTAGAAAAACGTTTTGGCGGTGCAGTGGGTAGCACTTTTTGGTTATGAACGGAGGCCGATGGGCACTAACTTGCAGGGATTAGGTTTGTTGTTTGCTTGTCCTGCTCTCTTGATTATTCAGTGGCAACGCTCCGGCGTGGCATGCGGTTGTTTAATAAGGCACCTTTTGTTCTTTATTACGGCTTTACCTTATCGTTTTGAGCAAATGATTGTGGAACCGTGCATACATTGCGGAGCCTTTGTCTCATGAATGACACTGTTGTTGGTTGATGGCTGACTGTCTTTGTTCCACACGGTTGCCCGTGGTACACATATATGTAGGCTCACTTTAGAACTGACATCTAAAGTTTGAAGAGAAGCTTGGATTTCCCCCCAAAAAAAAGAACAAGAAGAGAAGTTTGGATGAGTTTTGTAAACAAAAAAAAGAGAGAGAAAGGAAACAGGGCCTCTCCATCTGTTGATACAAACAAACATCTTAGAACGTGTTTGGTTGCTCGTATCTATTTTGCTTGCATTGCATGCTTGTCTCAGTTGGGTCTGATTGAGAAAAATAAGCTAAAAGCAACATTTGCATGTTGTTTAGTTGCCTTCATACCCTCTGGCCTGGCTGAGACGAAAGGGAAGGCAGGCTGTTTTGTTGCTCACTTGTTTAGGCGTATGAAAGACCATGCGGTGCCCCCATGTTTGGTTTTGGTAATTGATGACAATCTCTATGGACTAATGGTTTCCTTGAGTTATATTTGAAGGTTTTGTCCATAGGCTTTTCTTGGAGTACATGTGTTGGTTTCAAGGAGAGTTTGTGTCGACCAAGGTGCTATTCAAGGAATTATCCAAAGATTGGTCATTTGAGAGTTGAGCTTATTACAAGCATGTCTTTAAGAAGAAGCGTGTGTGATCATTCATGTTTACCTTCAAGACATGATCCAAACGAAGAGAGTTGGAAAGATTCAAGGTTGATCAAGACCAAGTCAAGAGTGAATCAAGTTGATCAACTCACAAAGAGTAGAAGATGTACCGAGAGGAATCAAGTGATCCCATGGTATGATAAGCATTGTCCATTGCACTTTGTGTACTAACCCATGGTCTATGTGAGAGTCTATGTGGGGTTAGGTACGTGTCCATGGGCTTGCGTCAAGAGGATGATATCATACAACCCATGGGAAGGATGACATCAAGTGGTGATTGTCATCAAGATTGTCGTGTGCAATTTTAAGTGGAGAATCACGAAGAGATCAAGTGCTTGAAGCTTGCCATCCATTGTGGTGTCAATGGACTTGTGAAGATGTGCCGAAGAGTGGCTCACCCATAGTGGAGTATGGGGGAGCAATCATCTAGTCTTCATCGACCCAACGCAATCAAGAAAGGTGGTCCATCTTGAGGAGGACAAGATCGTCATCATCTAACTCAAGTGGATCATATGCAACGCAAAGGTTTGCCCTTGATAGGTTTTCTATTTTACCGGTCTCATGGTGGTAGTTGGGAGACCGGGTTATAGGATCGATAGCCGTACTATTAAGGGGGGCTCTCAAGTGAGTAGCTTGATCGTATCGTTCGTCGAGAGCTCAAATCATTGCATCCTTGCATCATGTTTCTTGGTTCTTGTTTGGTTCTCTTTGTGAGTCTTAGAGCTTATGGTCATCTTGATGCCAAACTTGGTTTCATCGAAAACGGAGTTCGCATGCGTCTTCTATGCTGTTTTCGGTGTTGGAGGTTTTACCGGTCTTTTCCGAGGAAGGGTTCTCACCATTTTCTTATGGGCCTTTTCTCATTTGCTTCTTATTGATATTTCTTTGAATATTGTGTTAGCCCTTGTCGC